CCGCATAAACACATTTCATTACACCAAATACACAAAATAATGTTCTTTTTAGCAACATCACATGACCCCTTTAAATGCAAAAAGTGCCCAATATAAGTGATAGGAAAAAGCAACGCAATTAGCAGGTATTTCACACTCGTTTCATGCACACACCATGACAGTCAAAATGGTGTCATTCATTGATATATACTGAATTATAATACGACAATTAAAAAAAAAAATAACAACAACAGTAGCGCTTACCTTCGTGTCGCTCTATAAGTTTACACAGAACTAGAGGAAGCCTCTTGTTAAGTTCATATTGTAGAACATAATACAGAACTTTGCACAGTCAAAATTACTTGAATATACAGTCACTACATTCAAAATCAGATATGTTATAACTTATCATGCTAAAAACTTGTCACTCATGAATCATAATGTCTGTCTGCTGAGCCCTCGTGATAAGTGTGGCTGTGGATGTTTACATCAGCACCAGCGCCTCTGCAGTGTGTGTGTGTGTGTGTGTGTGTGTGTGTGTGTGTGTAGTAACGTTGTGATGACTGATTGGATGCAGTACTTGCATACTTGGGCTTGTTTGTTAAACAATTAGCCTATGCAGTTTATATGTTTGAAAACCGCCAAACTGACCCCAAACCAGCCCAAATTTTGTCCACCCGCCCAAGTCAATTTTTACCCGCAAAATCAAATTCAAAACCGCCCAACTGGCAACACTGCTCGAGCGCTGAGAAAATGGAGGACAGCGTACAACCGCTGAGGACGGAAACTATATCAATGCAGGGCTGTCAATCAACCCCCGTGGCCCCGCCCTATACAGTGTGACGTCACACTGCATGAGAATCAAAACGGCAGGCCTAGTGAGACTGACTGGTTTAAAGGGGATTAAAAAATGAGGAGTGGGTGAATTTTTATTATTGTAGGGTGGTTGTGTTCACACAGTGCCAACACACATTTATGTCCAAACACCATGTAAAAGTGGATTTTGCATAATAGGTGCCCTTTAAAATTCTGCACTATTTTGTCTAAAAAAAAGAGAAACCTAAAAACTTTTCTTTAAACGCTACAAGTGATTTTTTTCACAACATTAAAAAAGTACAATTAAAAAAAGAAATTAATTTTGAGATTTGCAAAAAAATATGGTTTAATGGTTAATTTGACGGTTATTTATTAAATTAATAGATTTATCAATTGATAAACCTAAAGACTTTACCTTCGCCATCACACATTCACTCAAAAATAAAAATTCTTTCATGATTTACTCACCCTCGTGTCATTCCAAATCCATTTTTTTTCTTATGTGGAATATAAAAGAAGATATTTTGAAGTATTATGGAAGAAAAATAATGCTGGTAACCAAAACAGTACTGTAAATACAATAGAAGTTAATGAGAACCTAAACTGTTACCAACATTCTTCAAAATATCTTCTTTTGTGTTCCGCAGAAGAAAGAAATGCATGCAGGTTGAAATGAGGGTGAATCATGACAGAGTTTTCCGTTTTGGGTGAACTATTCCTTTAACCTAAATATAAAAATCGAGAAAGTATATCCAATATCAACCGATACGAATAAATTTAAAATATATAATATAAAGTTATAATTTATATGGTATGCATCATTCATTCCTAAATATAATACATTTTCAGGTAGAGATCTGGTCTGGTACCTTGAATATAACAATTTTGAAAATAACAAAATAAATACATAACTCTGTAAGTAGAAACAATACTCTGGTTTTCAACTGTGCAAGACATAATAAAAGTGAATGAAAAATGTCTTGTAGGCAAGCAATCAAAGATCTGAGATCATTACTGGTAAAATGCAGAATTCATCTGAATAAACTTAATTGGTGTCATAGCTGTGAACATTGTCCATTTGTAGTGCTCAAAACTAAAAAAAGAAACACTCTCAGCTAAATTATTACATGTCCATAAGCCTGAGATTAAATCATGGATCCCCCCTGAAAGCTCTTTATCTCATCTGTCTCTGTAAATCACATTTTCTAGAACACAGGTCTTGTACAAACACACACACTAACAGATAAAGAGAAATAAAGAGAGAAAAGCTGAGGTGACAGCAAAAACATCAAAAGTGTCTAAAGGGAATTGATCTCAACCACAAAACTGAAAATACTATATAACAGAGACAGCAGTACCCATAGTGCACAGTCCATACCTCATGATGGGAAAATATTGGTGGGTTGTTGTTTTCATCCAGAACTTT